AGAACAAGTGTGAGACTTTTTTCTACCCATCATATGCAGAACTGTAACTAGCTGTTTAATAATATACCATGTATCTCCTTAGTAATAGCATAACAACTAGTAATAACTCATAACAGTGAGTTTTATATTACAGATTTTTAATATGGATGAATTTAAAATTGAGAGAATGTTATAAGAATATAAATTCCATGAAGACAGGAATTTTTGTGGGTATTGTTTGGTCCACATTGTTCTGTTTCTGGTGCCTACAGTACTTAACCACAAGGAGAAGGGCATTCAGTAACTACTTGTTGAATAAATGATCAAAATATTACTCTCAAGAAAATTTTAACGTCATTTACTTACAATAATTATTTTGGCAAAACATTCTTGATACTTCTAATCTAGAGCAGTAATATGAGTGGAACAGTAATTCTCAAGGGTATAGAAGCTTTTTAAATCCTTTTTCCTCTATTCCTTTCACCCTACTGCCTTCTCCTTCCAATATAACAATCTCTTACTAAGAACTACTGACTGATACTGAAATTATTATAAGCTGTTCTAAGGAGACAAATATGGATTGTCAGGGTAAGAGGGAGAAGGAAATTACAAGTTTAAAGGTATTAGGGCTGAGATGAGCATTTGACCAGATTTCACGGTAGTTAACTAGCTAGAGTATCAGGAAAGACAGGGAAGGAGAGTTGATGTAGGCAGTGGGGAAAGGTCAGATGGATAGTGTGCTTTAGAATTTCATATAGTAAATATAGACATCACGAGCCACCACACACCTTGTAGATTCAAACAGCAACTCTTTATTCTCCAAAATCCACCTCCACTGGGCTCTGTATCCCAAAATACTCTCTGAATCCCTGAGAACTCAGTGGGAACTCAAGGAGCGGGCTTGCCTGAGGCAGCAGGATACGCCCTATTCCCAGCAGGATACACCTTAAACCTGGAACCGCCCTAAACCCAAGGAGCGGCCCTAAACCCTGATCTGCCCTAAACCTGGATCCTCCCTGGTCCTTGAGCAAGGTCACCGTACATGCAATGTCTCTGCAAATGACCTGGGTCATGCTATGCGTCATTCCTACTTGGCAATGGCTCTCAGCATCTCCCTCCTTATGATTAATTAAACAACAAGCAATGTGGCTTAAGGACCGTGCCTGGTAGGTTGTCCAGTTCAACATATGGTTCTTACCTGTCATGGGAAAAACTGGCCTCTAGGCGTCAGCCTCCTGTCTTAAGTTGACACCACTGCAATTGGATCATACCCGTCACTGACGACCGGTCCAGCATACAGCCATACTTGTGGATAGGCCTATGCACCAGTGGGGGGGTGAGGTTCTTTGCCTCACCTCTGTTGGCCCCCAAATTTTAGACCATCACTAGCAGAAGGGAGGAGAATACAGAAATGCCACGACACCAAGCCAATTGACGG